ATTGGATCCAGACTCGACATTGGGATTCAGACATTTGACGAGGGATTATTTGGGACCTGTACCGAAGACTTGGTGTTGACAACATTCCCATCTTTCCCTCCTCTTCGTCTAACCCCCATCTTCTTCGTCTGTGTATGGTTGGGGACTAGCACATTCTTCCTGTGTGAGCGCCAGGCCCCTTCCCACCATGGAATGATGATGATGTATGTTTGGTCTGCATTACAACATTGATTGTTCGGATCATTGGTATTTAAGCCTTCCGCTGTGCTATCCTTTACTATGTGAGAGAGGTCGGTTCTTGTTCTGGTCTGCACCTTTACGGTATGCGACAGTTTGGTATCGGAGTGGACCTCTCAATCAGAGGATCCGCCCAATCAAGTAGCCAGCTTGCTTGATCTTTTGATTGTTGATTGATTGATTGATTGATTGGATTGATTGATTGATTGATTGATTATTAGTAAATCAAGTAGAACTTCGTCAAATCTCTGCAAATTTTTTTCTCTTTCTCGCAACAAATATCTGAAAATTTCTGATAGTAGCATTTGGTTTTATCTGAAAATTTATGATATTGGCATTTCAAATATCTGAAAATTTCTGATAGTAGCACTTCGTTTTATCTGAAAATTTCTGATATTAGCATTTCGTTTTCTATGCATAACGATAGAGGTTGTTATATTCTCGGAAACTGGATTTATTCTTCTCTGAAAGTGGAACCTCCAGTCTATTTCACTCAAAAGTTTTTTTTCAAGATCGCATTTTTGAAAGTTGAAACTTTGCGGAACCTTGCCTAGATCTCGCTCATAGTACTCCTCTGAAATGCTCACTCACAGCAAATCGACAAATTTTCAAAGAAAAAAGAAAAAAAGGTAGATGACTCAGATGAGTCTCTTCTTTTATTTTATTGTATTTTCTGTCTGTGGATTAGGACCGGGAGGAAAGTATAGTTTGGTTGGTTACCTACCTGCGTTTCCCCTCCCATCCAACCCTTTGCCTGCATTCCCGGTTTGGTACAGTGCCACGTTCACAGTGCCATGTCAGCAGTGCCACATCAGCAACAGTGCCACGTCAGCAGTGCCCCGGCACCATGGCGGTCTCAATTCTGGGCATGCCAGGCCAACTGGCCAATGAGTCCATTGCCGAGTACCGACAACGGTTCCAAGCTCAGCTCGTACTGATCGAGGCTGAGGAACAAAGTCAGGCGGCAGCCTCGGCTGCCCGCCTACAGGCTGAAGCGGAGGCAGTAGCTGAAAAGCAGCGACTTCATGCCGAAGCTGGCGCATTTCAAACCATCCGAGAGATCATCAAGACCAACTGGGCTGCTGCACACGAGAAGACAGTGTGGCAGCCAACCCATGTGGAGAAGGGAAAATTTGGTCCTTGTCCGCAGCACGTCACTGCAGTCCAACCGGACACCATTGTGGTAGACCCGACAACCACCCAAGCATCACGTGAGGGAGATCAGGCCTCCTGGATGGGCCAGCACTATATAAGACTGGCCCGCCCTGCAGGCTGCAGGCAGTCACGAGGTAGTTCATAGGGACTTCCTAGGCACTTCACGTGCAGTTCAGGAGACAGGAGGTAGTCTTTAGGATTCGGCAGCAGCACTCTGGAGGAGCGCTGCAGGAGTGGTAGTAGCGTTAGCGTAGTCTTCAGCGTTGGGCGCTAGTAGGAGCTAGAGTAGCATTGGAGAGAGAGAGAGAGAGAGATGGTTGGTGGAGGCCAGGGAGACTTACCTGTGGCGGCATAGCTCCAGCTTCATCTTCGATGTGCCTGCAACAAGGTGCCACCTTCACAGGTTAGTACCGGACCGAGAGAGAGAGAGAGAGAGAGAGAGAGAGAGAGAGAGAGAGAGAGAGAGAGAGAGAGAGAGAGAGAGAGAGAGAGAGAGAGAGAGAGAGA